TTTTAGCTTTTAGTTCGTATTTTGTCACTTTTAGCTGGCATTTGTTATTTTTAGCTTTCAGCTAGCATATTGTGGCTTTTACCTCAAGGCTAGTATCTATTGTTTTTTTAGCTTTAAGCTAGTGCTGTGCTACTTTTAGCTTCACCAATTCAGTTTTAGCTTCTTCAGAACATTTTAGCTGTCACAGAAGAAGCTGTTTCTCTAGTTTTGTTTGTTTTATATTTTTAAACTACATTTTTCCAGATTAGAATTTCTGGGTTTGTATAAAATGTATAATTTTTATTTTGTTCAAAGTTTTTGTTGTCGGCTGTAATTTTTGCCTGGGGGTCAGTTTTCGTGTAAATCCTCCGAGAGTTAATCGTAACAGTTGATGTTTGAGGAACTCTTCTTCAACAGTAAAAACAGACTTTTTAAAACTCTTGAGTTAAGAACATAAAACTTTTCTTTGATCTTTGTGCATCTCTCTTCCCTCCAGCCTGAAGCTCCCTCCTCCCCCTTTGTCCCTCGCTCCGACTCCCCCTCAGTCAAAGCGAATGGAGAGGGAGGAGGCGCTGACGATGGAGCTGAGACGAAGAAGAAGGGAGTCGAGGAGGGGAGTGAAGGAGAAACCAGAAGAGAGGAAGCAGCAGGAGGTGGAGGAGGTGGGCAGAGCGTCCCCGTCGCTCAGGGCTTCACTCATGTCCTCGGGGGGGTGCGCCCGACTCCAACTGTGGTGACCAACGTGGTGCGCCCCATCGCCAGCACCCCCATCCCCATCGCCAGCAAGCCGGTGGAGGGAGCCATCACCCTCAGCTCACTCCCGCAGGAGAAGGCCACTCTTCTGATCGGAGGAGGCGGAGCTCAGCACCTGCCAATCACCGCAGGGGGTGGGTACCTGTCATCATCCTCCCCCCCTGGTCCAGTCAGTGTAACCTCCGTGGGGGGCAGCAGCTTGGTCACTAGCCTAGTTCTGGGGGGGTCCTTCCCTGCTGCCCATACTCTGCAGCTCATCAGCCCTCACCCCCAAACTCATCCACCCATCTTCCACCCCACCTCCTCCTCCCTCACACCTCAACCCAAGCCGCTGGCGCAGGTCCAGTACGTCCTGCCCACCGACAACCCGTCCTCCCCACAGCTCACCCACCAGCACATCCTCCCCCTGCACACCAATGGCGTGCAGTCGGGGGTGGGGATCCGAGTCAGCCCCAAGACCAGAGGTGAGACAGGAAGTGACGATCGGCTGACAGAAAGAAGCAAATCAGTTTCTTCTCAGAGGTTTCACAGAATTATCTCGTTCTTTCTTAAATTATACAACCACAGTTCTGGAAACGCTGATTAAAATGTTTAAAAAGTAAAAGATAAAAGTTTCCAGTTTCATAAATCCACATTTTATTCACAAAAATCATCGTAAACATCAAACGTTTAAACTAAGAAGTTACATCAAAGTTGTTGCAGGTCCGTGTTTCCCTCAGTGAAGCCTCCTGTCTTCTTCACAACCTGCAAACATCCAGGACCTGAAGAGACCAGGTGGAGGTTTTGGAGGATCTGAAGAGACCAGTTGTTGGAGGTTTTGGAGGATCTGAAGAGACCAGTTGTTGGAGGTTTTGGAGGATCTGAGGAGACCAGTTGTTGGAAGTTTTGGAGGATCTGAGGAGACCAGTTGTTGGA